CCGGCGCTGCTGGCGCTCCGGGGTCGCTGCGGGCCTTGGCCCTGCTCAAGTGGTGCAGGACCTTCCTTGCTCTGGGCAGAGCAGTTGTCTCGTCTGGCTCGGAGGGGCAGTGGGGACGAGTTGAAAGGGGGGAACTGTAGGTTGGATATTAGGAATAATTTTTTTCCTGTGACGGTGGTGAGACCCTGGCACAGGTTGCCCAGGCAGGCTGTGTCTGCTCCTCGGAGGAGCCTTGTGTGGTTTGGGGCACTCCAGGGAGACAAATCCCGGTGGGTCTTATATTGACAAGCACAGTGATGTTGCCCTTTTCCACCTCTCTCTTAAAAGTTCTCTGTGAGCTCCAAGTGTTGAGTTGTGCTGTTGATAATATCAGCTCACCAGGGAATGTGACATGGGAATAGGACCAGGGAATTCTGAATTTCAGCGTGAAGCAGAACCTGCTCCACCAGACACACCTGAGGATTTCACAATGTGCGAGATGTTTACAAGTGGAACAGCTGTTTTTGAAAAAGGGTGGCCTGGTTTGCCAGTTACGGTCTGATGTTCACATCTGGGTTCCAGGTTAATAGGTGGTGGATTAACAGTAGGGAGGTGGTGGCATCACCATCCCTGGAGGTGTTTGAGAGGTGTCTGGATCTGGTACTGGCTGATGTGGTTGGAGGTCTTGAGTGTCTTTTCCAAACTTAATGATTCTGTGAATAATATCTGAGTTGCTTTTTTCTCTTTTACCTGAAATTGATTAGTCCCATCATTACTTTGTTCAGGTCTTAAGCTGTTAGAATCTGAATGCCCTTTTGCAGAGATGTGTTTTCTTACATGTTGGAAGTGATTATTGGTTAACCCCCCAATTTTTTACTAGGAATTTATGACTATCCTCCTTCTAGGGTGCTCTTGTAGGTTGTAACCCCTTGCTAAGCTTGGAGCATGTAGTAATCCTCTTTTTTTTGTTGTAAAAGATTTAAAAAATGAGGTCAGGAAGGTTCCTTTGTATGTTGAAAGGAATCTCTGTGGAGCTTTTAAGAGCTGATAAGCAGGCATTATAACCCAGTAAGTATTTTACTACTGATTAGTCTTTCACCTCCTGCAAACCTAAAGTAAAATAACTAGAGGCCTCAAGTATTTTTTTTCCTTTTAACTTTGATGCTTCTAGCCTTCTCTGACATTGCAAAGCAAGGTGTATGTTATCCTCCTCTGTATTGCACAGACAGGTATTTTGGTGGTCACAGCAACTTGCAGAGTTGCACTGCTCAGGCTTTTGGGTGTTCTGTTCTTGGCCTTCCCTAGTCTACCACTGGGTGCAAGAGCAGGACTCTTGTCAGGCTGCTTTGGATTATTGGTGAAATGCCCACACAGAGATTTAGTGCTCAAACAAACCTTCCTGCAAATATCTTTGAGGTGTTCCTTGTGCATGATTGGTAACTGGTCTGTGTTCCACTGTTTTCAGCTTCTCAGCCATGCCATGAAATCTTTGTGTGTGTCTAGTCAAGTTCTCTTCTACTTCAGGTGGCTGATGGTAATATTCAGGCTGGTTTGTCCTGGTGTACCTTGTCATGGTGTCTGAAAGAAGCAATGATGTATTACTGCCTTGTGCAAAGAGCTGAGTGTTTTCCACTTGCTCTAATGGATTTTGCCAATCTGGGATTAAACAACAGGTGAAAGCCCTAATGAACGAGATGATAATTTTCTTTCTTTCTCTTTCAGTAGCTCATCTGCAAACCCTTGGTCCTGTCTTCATCCTGTCAACATGCTCCACAGTTACAGTGCCAAGTTCTCCCACAGCAAAGCACTCACCTCCCCATACCCAGGGTCACACGTCGAGCGCAGCCAGGTTCCTGAAGATAAAGTGGGTTGGCTGACTGAGTGGAAGGATTATAGCAGGTCATACTTCGAGCGCAGCCAGGTTCCTGAAGATAAAGTGGGTTGGCTGACTGAGTGGAAGGATTATAGCCCTGTGGAATACACTGCAAAGGCTGTTTTGGCTGGACCCAACTGGGCAGACCCCCAAATCAAGTGAGTGGAAATGGTGGCTCTTTCCTGCTGTGAATGTGGAGGCAGGAAATGGTCATGAGCTGAGGTAATAAGGTCATCAGTCTAAGTGATGTGTAAAAGTCAAGACTATGAAAAGTGTGCTTAGAGAGCTGAATTGTTCGGGTTATCTGTGAAGGCCTTTGACACAGGATTTTACTGAGCTGGTGACTGAGATGGGAGCAGTGGACAGCTGTTGATGCTGTGCAGGGTTTGTGCTGTGAGCTAACTGAGTGAGTTCCTGCAAAGCTCAGCTCTGGCTCAGGCTTTCACAGCAGGCCTGGAGAAAAGGAGGCTCAGGTGGAGCCTTATTGCTCTCTACAAGAACCTGAAAGGAGACTGTAGTCAGGGTTGTAATCACCCTCTAACAGTCTTTTCTCACAAGTAACAAGGGATAGGACAAGGGGAAATGGCCTCAAGGTGTGCCAGAGGAGATTTAGATTGGATATTGGGAAAAATTTCTTTGCTGTAATGGTTGTCAGGCACTGGAACAGGCTGCCCAGGGAAGTCACCATCCCTGGGGGGATTTAAAACACGGGCAGATGTGGCACTTGGGCACATGGTTTAGTGGTGGCCTTGGCAGTGCTGGGTTAATGGTTAGACTCTATGATCTTAAAGGTCTTTCCCAACTGAAATGATTCTGTGGTTCTGTTATCCTAACCTTAACAAGAATTCCTTTGAAACACTTGGTCTAAATGGAAATCCAGAGAGAGACAGTGTCAAATACTTTAGTTCTGCACATTTTCCTGCAGAACTGAACACAGGGAGACTCATCAGTCAAGGCTGAGACTTTATAGCCTCCTATAGAAAAGGGAGGAGCTGCAATGTGAGTTGCTACCCCTTGGTCAAATGGGAGTTGCTGGCTCAAGCAGAGGAGAGCTTTGTGTTTTATAATTTATCACTATTAAATCTTTGTTTTCCACACAGTGCTAAAGGTTTTTCTCCCAAATTCAATGAGAGGGATGGAGAAGTGGAGAGGAAGAGTCTGAGCGGCCTGTACACGGTTGAAAATGGGAGACCCCGGTGAGTGTGGCTTTTTGTTTCCATGTTCACTTCAGTGATGTAGTTTCAGTGCTCTTACAGGTCTGTCAGTTTTGATACATGGTACCTGCTAGAACAAAGCCAAGACAATCTCCCCTAGAGACAGGAAAAGTGATATCCCAGGGCCAGAGTGTTCCTCTTGGAAGAAGCTTGTGGCAGAGGCACAAAAAGGTTAGCCAATACTGCTACCACAGCACAGGTGGTGGTGGCACTGGGGTCAGGGCAGTTAATACTGTTAATAGGAGGGTCTGGTGGATTAATTGACTCCACAGTTTGACCAGGTGTGAGGCCTTGAAGCTTTTGTACCACTTTGTGTGCTCCACAACTCCTGGCATAGCACAGACTCTCACCTAAAAATAGTTCTACTTTCTGCCTTTTGTACGTGGTTGAATGCTCTGTGCATCTGTAGCCTTGGAAACTAGATTCCCTCTTCAGGCAAGGCTGTGTGGAACAGAGCAGTGCTTGAGCAGGAGGATCTGGGGACACAAGACCTGGAAAATGACAAAGCCATTTTGTCTCTTTCTTTTGCCTTCAACACAAAGAGGCTGATGAAAGAGCAAACCAAGCTGTGTCTCCCTTGTCCTTTAAACCACATGGTGACCCTGAATGTATGTTGCAATCCTTCCCTTCCTTTTTATTATTTAAGCTTCTTTAAAGCTATTTGGGTGGATTTTTAAGAGCACTTGGAGTGTATTTGGAATGTGGGGGAAGTAAATATGTTTAATGTACTACTGTGTTAAAGGTGGAGAAATTCAGCAGAAACACTTGTGTTCCAGCTGGTGCTCAGAGCTCAGAGGGTGTGGCTGGGCTGTGTTTCCCCTTAGCACCAGTGCAGGACTGTGACTCATGTGCTGTGCCCTGTGTTCCAGAAATCCTGCTGGGAGGACTGGCCTCACTGGCAGAGGATTGTTGGGGCGCTGGGGACCAAACCATGCTGCTGATCCTGTTGTAACCAGGTAAGGGGCAGGTCACTGCAACCTGCCTTGAAGTAGAGAAGAAAAAACATGCATTTTGCTTTTTCCTGGCATCTCTGGGCAGACACTTTTCATGGCCTGAGAATGGCAGTGAAACTGGGGGAGCCAAGGCAGGTGTAAATTTAGATATGTTCTTAGATGGAGGTGTTATCTTGGACTCTAATTTTTCACCTGTAAGATAAATCAGCCTAGTTAGGGATTTCTGACTTTCTGGCCTGTTCATGTGTGTGTTTTCTGTGTGTAAGCCCATTCAGATATGGGTAGATATATAAATATACATAGAGAGATACAGAGACGTATATAGAGATATACAGACATGAGGAACACAAATGTCACAACATTTTAGTCTTTGTCCCTGGCAAAGAGTAAGGGTTCACATCTCATGACAAGTGATTGCTTCTGAAATGCTGAGGGAGCAGATTTAAAACCCAAACAACCCAGGAAACATGACTCAGTAGCAATGCATTGTGCAAATAATCTTCAGGAACAAAGGTAAGAACTGAGAGGATTATGTGATGCTTTGGGACTGTACATGTAGGATGCCAAAAGGCCTTGGATGAGACATGAGAAATTAAATTGCAGGGATAGATTTTTATGTCATAATGAATTTGATTGAAAAAAACCAAACCAAATAACTGTTTTCTGGTGAGAAACACTTAACTTGACGTAGTGTATTACAGGGCGAGGTGGGAGTAGGATCCTCTTTTGGTCAGTGTGTGCTCTGTTTTAGTTTTTCCAGCAGGATCTATGTGTATGTGGTAGATATTTTACACCAAGCATTCATTGTGGAGTTAACAAAGGTCCAAACTAGGAATTGCCATGCTGAAGACAGAACCACTGTGGAAAAGTTTATGCTGATGCATTTTACTTCTTCCCCTTTTCAGAAAGATGCCAGTGCTACTGAGTTGCTTCCTTGATAGTTTGGGTTTGGGTTTTTTTGAGTTTGTGGGGGTTTTTTTTGGTTGGTTTCAGCTTGGCTTTGTTTAGGGTTTTTTTGCAGCAAAATGTGTTCTTGTTTGTCCTTTGCTGCAGGTGGAAAAGGGATGGAAGTGGCAATAAAGTTGCTCATCCAGTTACTGGCAAAAACATCTTGCAGTTCGTAGCTATCAAGAGGAGAGACTGTGGGGAATGGGCCATTCCAGGGGTAAGGACAAAGCTCCAGAGGGAAATGATCTCCCCACTGGTAAGGCCTTGGGACAGTAATTGATGTGTGTGATACAGCTGCTTTGGGATGAAAGACCTTGTGTTGCATAGGTGAATAGAAATCATAGAACCATAGAATTTTAGGGGTTGGAATGGAGCTTAGAAATGATCCAGCCCGAACCCCTGCCCTAAGCAGGGACTCCTCCCACCAGAGCAGGTTGCTCAAGGCTTTAGCCAACCTGGCTGTGAACACTGCCAGGATTGGGGCATCTTAAATGCTCTGCCCAAGCCTCAGTAGCTGTGCCTTCTGCTGTTTCTGTCTTGCAGGGTGGCAGTTTTGTTTCATGCTCAGTGCAGAGGCTCCTCCCGTGCCCAGAGTGTGATGCAGGTGGATGTAATATGCTAAGAGGTAGTCAAAGGGGAGTTAAAACAAGTGCAATGCAAGGAATAGTCACCTTGTTTTTTCTTTTCCTCCCTCTCAGGGGATGGTGGACCCAGGGGAGAAGATCAGTGCTACCCTGAGGAGAGAATTTGAGGAGGAAGCCTTGAACTCTTTGGAGAAACCACCTGAGGAGAAGGCAAAATTGGAGAAGCAGCTCCAGAAGCTGTTCAGCCAGGAACACTTCGTGGTGAGCTCACTGTCCCTTGTGACAGCCTCTTGAGCTGTGCATGTAGCTCACAGGTGTAGGAGCTGGTAAAGTGTAGCTGCAGTGAAAACAAGTTGTGAGGCTCGGCTTCTTGTGGTGTGGGAAATGGAGGAGCCTGCTGAAAACTCTAAGGGCAAATGTATCATCAGAGGGAAAGAAAAGAAATCTTACTAGTTCCACCTTGTTTGTGGTGCCACTGAGCTTGTTTTGGTTGGTTTGGGGCCTTAGGTGTACAGAGGATATGTGGATGACCCTCGTAACACAGATAATGCCTGGATGGAGACAGAGGCTGTGAACTATCACGATGAAACAGGTGAGTATCTCCATGTGTGCTCTCAGTGGCCTTTTACCCCATTTGAAATTGGGTGCTGGGTTGGGCTGAGACTGGCAGAGAAATGGGGGAGCATGAAAGTCAGGTGTAAATTGAGAGAGATTCTGAGACTGATGTGTTATCTTGGGCTCTCATTTTTCACCTGTTAGATAAATCAACCTAGTTAGATGTTTCTGACTTCTCCAAGTCAGAGACTTCATCTGGTGACTTTTCATCTGAATTTTGGGTCATCAGTACCAGCTGTGAAGTCTCATGTGTCACTGCTCTGTGATTTATCAGCCCCTGGAAGTAGTGGAGATATTGTATCTTTGGTCTCTGTTCCTACTACAGAATTTAGAAGCATTTCTGTGGTGGTTGTCTGTGAAGTCCTGAGACTGTTTCTTCAGAAACTGCTTTTTCTTAGTCAAACCTTCAGCAACTCAGAAGCTTCCTGCATCCCTTCTCAAGTAGTATCTTTGATTTTGGGCCCTTCAGTAAAATTTAATCCTTATTTTATTTTCACAAGCATATTTAAGCTTCAGAATTCAGTCTGTCCTGTAGAATAGCACCTGAGAGAAGCAGCAATCAAATGCTAAGCAAACAAACAAAAATCAAGGCAGAGGGATTGGCTAAGCTTGAGGTAGTGAGTCCATGTTGCCATGGTGATTTCCAGTCCCTTGTCATGCTGCTGGTGGTACCCTAGGAGTGGTGACAAGGGCTTAACACCACCTCAGATTTGCCTGAAAATAGTGCAAGGATGAAAAAAGGTTTCTGGCACAGAATCAGTGAGGAACTTGATGTTTTTTTCTCTGAGAAGCAGTTGGAGGTTGCTGCCTGTGAAGGAGCAGAACTGGTTAAACGTGAGGAGAAAATGCATGGGGGGAAAAAAAGATGCACTAGCATGTCCTAACTCTTGTTTTGTGCACAGGTGAGACAATGGATAATTTGCCTCTGGAAGCAGGTGATGATGCTGGAGCAGTGAGGTGGGTTGACATCAGTGCAAAGCTTGAGCTGTATGCAAGTCATAGCTACTTCATCCAGCTTGTGGCTGAGAAACTGGGAGCCCACTGGAGTGAGGATCCTGGGCATGAGTGCCGTGAGTGATGTGGACAAGCAACTGACAGACACCAAGAGGAGAATACATTCTCCAGCCCTGAAACACATGACATTGTCCTATTCAGTGGAAATTCAGTGAAAATCCTGGAAAATTCAGCTGGGAAAGATAAACAGAGACTTCTGCAGAGACTTCAGATTGCTCCTTTGGACTTCTTAGCTAGCATGAAATGAGATGAATGTGGAGCTTTTTGTTTTGCTTTTTGTCTTTGTTGTTTGCAGCTGTGTCATCTCTGCAGCTCTGCATGGCAACCCTGGGACTGTGACTGGGGGTTGTTCAGTGCCTGTTCACTTTAGCTAGAGATTTTTGCACTGATTCCTTGTCAGGAGTATGAATCCTTAAGAGATGTGAAACTCGTAGGATAATCTGAATAATGACTTAAATTAAGTACTTCATAATAAAGTGAAGTTTCTTTTCTGACTCATTTCACTTCACATGTCTTTGAACCTGTACTAGTTTGGGCTGGGGTGGTGCTAACTTTCTTCTGGCTAGTACAGGGCTGTGTTTGGGCTTGGTGCTGAACACAGGGTTGATAATGAGATGTTTGATGTTGTTTCAAGAGGCAGGGGAAGAAGTACCTGAAAAGCACTGATTTTTTTTCATGTATTTAGGAGTTGGAGTGTCAGGACTGGTGAATATGATCTACACTCTAGCAGCCAGGCAGGAAGAGACCTGGGAGTTTGGAGAGACAGGAAACTGAACAGGAGCCAGCAGTGTGCTCAGGGGGCCAAGAAGGCCAATGGCATCCTGGCCTGGATCAGAACAGTGTGGTCAGCAGGACCAGGGAGGTGATTCTGCCCTTGGTGAGGCCACACCTTGAATCCTGTGCTCAGCTCTGGGTCCCTCAGCTCAGGAGGGACATTGAGGTGCTGGAGCAGGTCCAGAGAAGAGCCACGAGGCTGGTGAAGGGACTGGAGCACAAGTGCCATGAGGAGAGGCTGAGGGAGCTGGGGGTGTTCAGCCTGGAGAAGAGGAGGCTCAGGGGAGACCTTCTCACCCTCTGCAACTCCCTGACAGGAGGTTGGAGTCAGGTGGGGGTTGGTCTCTTCTCCCAGGCAACCAGCAGCAGGACAAGAGGGCACAGACATAAGCTCTGCCAGGGGAGGTTTGGGTTGGATATTAGGAAGAGATTTTTTACAGAGAGGGTGCTCAGGCATTGGAATGTGCTGCCCAGGGAGGTGATGGATTCCCTATCCCTGGAGGTTTTCAAGCTGAGACTGGATGTGGCACTTAGTGCCATGGTCTAGTGACCACGGTAGGGTTGGACTTGATGATCTTAGAGGTCTTTTCCAACCAGGTAGGTTCTATGATTCTAAACCTGAAATGACATTTCCAATGAGTACTGACAAAATCCGTATCTCTAGGTGGACTTTTATTTGAGGTTTCTATGCAGAGTGTTAAGCTGACAATACAGTAAATAGACAAGTCCTATTTCAGTGCATGGTAAAATCTACATTCTCTAAGTCTACTGAAGAACTTCGTGTACAGCTGAGCCATCAGGTTAGTGCTATCTCTTGGTTCAGAGACATCATGGATACATGCAGGGGAAAACACTGGTGGTTTAGCTATGAACCAGTTGGAGCAGTTACATTTTTCTGCTGTTAATGAATGTAGGAACTTTCTGCACTTGTGTTATTTGATAAGAAGGCAGAGAACCTTTTGCCACCTTTGTCTTGAAAGCGGTGAAGCTGTTAATGACAGAAACAAACAGGGTTCACACATTTCACCTGTGTCAGTGCAGCACTGGGAATTTGTTCAGCCAGGCTCAGAAAAGGAGGTTTTCGTTTATGTCTTCTGCAAGAAAAAGGAAACATTATTGACATCTGATGCCAGAGAGACATTTTTATGCTGTGTCACTAGCAATAAAATGAGATGCTAAAATTGCAGGTGACTCGT